TTTTTTTTAACCTATTTTAAAGAGGTGAAAGAAATGAACTGAGAAATAATCATTCCGCAGGATGCTGGTGGCAGGCAGGCAGACAGCTGAGACCAGGGACATTCAGAATCTTGTAGGAGTAGGGGTATAGCTCAGTGGTAGAATGTGTGCCTAGCATGCAAGAGGTCCTGGGTTCAATCCCCAGTACCTCCATTAAATAAAAAAATAAATAAGCCTAATTACCTCCTCCCTCCCCCCAAACAAAAACAAAAAACACTACAGAATCTTGTTGTCTTCAGGGGGAGAGTCTAGCTCAATGGTAGAGTGTGGCAGAGAGCATGCTTAGCATGCACAAGGTCCTGGGTTCAATCCCCGGTACCTCTGCTAAAAAAAAAACACGAAGCCCAGAATCTTCTTGTCCTTATTATTGTACAAAGAAGGAAAATTGAAGCTCAGAGAGGGGACGCCACACTTGCCCAAGACCACAAGAGGCTGGGTATGCCCTGGGGCTGGCGTGTTGGTCGGCTCTGCCTCTCCCACATCGGCCTCCTTGGGCTGGGCAGGGTCTGGGGGACCCAGAATGAAGCCGGCTGCAATCGTGCAGCATCTGCCGGGTATGAGCCCAGGAAGCCTTATGACCCTGTTTTACCAAGGAGGGAAACTAAGGCAGAGAGGACGGTTACTCAACCCAACTCAGGGGAGACCCTGAGCTGAAAACTCCTTTCTTGCTTGAGCCCAGAGCCATCCCGTCCCCCTTTCACCAAAGCAGGCAGCTTTACCTAGGCTAGGAGAGTAGGCGCAGAGATCTCTATCTCTGTCTCTCCCTTGCTTGCCTGTCTCCCCCTGAGTCTTGGCCTTTCTCTCTCCTTCTCTATCTCTCTCTGTCTCTGTCACTCTCCTAATCTTTCCAGCAGATGTGGAGGGGACTAGCCTGGCCTCTACTGATGTTGGACCCAGCTGCATGGCCTCGCCCTCCTAATCCAGCCTCGCCCTCTGACCCCCCGAGAGCAGCCTGTTCCCTCCACCCACCAAGAAGAGCCTGTAATCAGCTCCCCAGGACTGAGCCAAGGCCAGCAGCTGGGGCTGGGGGGAGGGCTTCTGTCCTCCAAACCCCATCCTCCTGCCCCTCCGCTGCCAGCCTGCCCTGAGGGGTCTGTGGCCCCCAGGGATCTCTCTCCCCCAGCCATAAGCACATTCCTTCCCGGCTTGCACATCTCTAAGGATCCCCACTGCCCAAGTCCAGCAACAACCCATCCTTTCCACTGAACATTAAAATTTGTTATTCTTTTTATATTTTTATTATTTGGGAGGTGGTAATTAGGTTCGTTTATTTATTTATTATTATTACTTTTTAATGGAGGTACTGGAGAATTGAACCCAAGACCTCATGCATACTAAGCACACACTTTACCACTGAGCTATACCCTCCTCCAACCCCTGAACTTCTTTATTCATTCAATAAACACTTCCAGAGTCCTCTCTCTGCCCACCCCAACCCAGCCCCCAAGGAGCCTCCAGGTCAGAGGAGACAGAGCTGAATGCAGACCCCACCCCTGTCCAAGGGTCAGAAGGAAGTACAGGGCTGGCTGGCAGTTGTGGGAGAACCCCAGGGAGAGCTGCAGGGAGGTGATAGCTGGGGTTTTGAGAGGTGAATAAAAGTTTTCCAAAGAGGCAAAAGTGGCAGAAAAGCATTGCTGGCAGGTGTGAAGAAGCAATGGGGGCTTAACCTGCACAAAATGCCTTTTCACAAGCCTCCAGAAGTTGACTTTGTACCACCGAAGGGCCAACACTATTGCCCATTGTAAGAGGATGGAACAGAGGCTCAGAGAGGAGAAACAACTCACCCACCATCACAGACCAAATAAGTGGCAGAACCATGGGCTCCAACACCTGAGCTCTTAACCTGTATACTCAGAGCCTCCTTACTCTCGCCATGCTGTTCCCTCTACCAAGACTGCCTTTCCTTCCTTCAACTGCTGAAAAGTTTCTGTCAGCCTCCATTGTCATCAGTTGTGCGATCCTCTGGTCAGGATAGAAAGGGCTCTAGTGTGTAGGCAGAAAAACTGAAGCCCTGGGACACTCAGGTTCGGTTAGGGTCGACCAGGACCTCAGCCTTCTCTGGCCTCTTACACAATCCCAGTCACACAGGTTCCCCCCAAAAATGAATTTCAGCCAGGGCAGCTGCTCTTGTCCTTGGCTTCCTCCAGCTAAAGAGGGAAGAGGGAAAAGAAGCCTGAGATCATATATTTAAAGCTACATAATGTTCCTTCTGGAAATGAGATAAGAAGCTCAGGGCCAAGCCATGAGAAGATGGGAAGATGAAAGAGGCTTAAATTTATTCCTTGATTCGGGGGTGGGGGGAGCTCAGTAGACCCCACCATTGCATCTGTCTTGAATCTTTACAAGTTTCAAAGGCCACAAGACTACTCTTGCTCTACAAGCCCCTAAGTGCAATGTCATTTGCCCCATGAGGGAGTCTCTGAAACAGGAAACCCAGAGAGGTTCAGCTCCCTGCCCGAAGTCACACAGCCAGTCCATGGAGACCAGAACCCAGAGGTCTGTGTGCAGGAGATATAAAAATGATGGTGAATGGGGTTCGCCCTCCAGACAAGCAGGGAAGGCGAAAATCTCATGCCTCTGGACACTATCCCCGGCTTCCACTCCACAGTGCATCCAGCTGGGGGCCCAGAGCACTGAATGGTGGCCGGTCTTGTGGGCTAGGGGCCCAGCATAGCTTCATGAGCTCATGAACCTGAGGGGGTGGGAAGAGACAACAGGGTCACATGTGAGTGGTAGGAAGGACATAACTCCTGTTAATTGTTTTAAAATATAAATTAGACTCCATCTCTTCCTTGCTTGCTCCAGAGCCTCCCATGGTTCCCTATGGATCTTAGAACAAAATCTCATCCCCTCCCCTATCTCCCTCCCTCCACCATCTCCCTCCATCACCTCCTCTCTCATTCCATGCAGCCATATTTGCACCCATCTCAGTTTTTAAATACACCAAGCTCATTCCCACCTCAGAGCCTTTGCACCTGCTGTGTTCTCCACTGAGAATGTCCTCTCTCAGCTTTCCCCAAGAGCAGGATCCTCTTCCTCTTTCAGGCATCACCCCCTCTAGGAGGCCCTCCCTGACCACATCCTCCATCTCTTTCCAGACATTGAGCACCATCAGAATGTTCTTGTTAGCTTCTACAAGCTATAGTGGGGGAGGGGTAGTATCTGTTCTGTCCCCTGCTGGGTCCCCATACCATCAGTGCTCAGTAAATGATAGTGACTCTCACAGTTTATCATCACAACTTTTGTGCAAGTGTCAGACATGTGGTTGATCATTTATAAATTAATTCGCTCAGGCCACAAACATTTATTGAGCGCCGACTGTGTGCCAGGCTCAGAACTGAACACTGGAGAGGCATTAACTAGTCTGATCCTCTCCCATCCAATAAGGCAGTTACTCCCATTTTGGAGATAGGATAACTTAGGCCCTGAAAGTGTTTGTGACTTGCCAAATAGAGAGCAACAAAGTAGAGGACAGAATCTCCTTCAGCCTCATGTCCTGGCCTCTGCTCTTAGCCAAGAGACATCAGTGGTTAAGAGAACCAGAGGGGCCAGCAGGCTCGCTCAAGACCCCCAGTGCATCTACAGAGTGGGAAACTGAGGCAGGCCCTCCAGCGCTCACCTCACCAGGGCAGGCAGGAGGTGCGGGCAGCCTCTGGCCCTCAGCCAGCAGCTCCAGGAGGCGGCAGAGGGCTGGGACATCTCGCTCACATCCCATCATCCGCAGGAACTCCTGGGACCAAGGGGGAGCATGCATGTTGGGGGACGAGCCATTCATGATGAAGGGAGTAGGGCCCATCCGTGATTGAGGGAGTCAGCCAGAGTGAAGGGAGGAGGGGAATCACCCACAGAGAGGGACAGTGTCCTCGTTAAAAGAGGAGGAGTCTTCTGTGATGGACTGGGGCGGGGGGTGCTGCCTGTGGTGGGAGGAGGGGTCAGCCAGAGCGAAAAGACGTCCTACTGGGCCTTCTAAGGTTGGGACCAGGTGATCCTAAGCAAAAGATGGACGCAGGTACAAACAGGACAGGGATTGGCCATGAAGGGGTTGTGGGAAGGAGGGTGTTGGAGATCTGGGGCTGCCAACTCACAGCTGAGGGGCTACAGCTCTTGTCACTGTAGGTGAAGAGCTCATACAGGACGACCCCGAAGCTCCAGACATCCGACTGGCGCGAGAAGATGTTATCTGAGAGGGACTCTGGGGCATACCTGGAGGGGGACGAGGAGGTCTTGGGCAGAGGACGGGAAAGGGGGCAGCCTTGGGCTGGGGAGCTGGTCAAGGTGGAGGCTGTGAGATGGTCAGTCCCAGATCCGAGGTCTCTAGTTCCCCAGACCGTGGGTTGAGAGGATTCTCCAACCCCAGGTTGGGCCAGAGTGAGGCCTGGGCGGGATCAGGGATGAGCCGTGCATTTGAAGGAAGGGAGGGACCAGTGCCAAGGGGCGGAGCAGGGCAGGACGTGGTGGGGGGGGGGCAAGCCAGTACAGCGGGGAGGGGCCAGGGTTGTCGGGGCGTGGCCAGGGTGGGCCCAGGGCAGTGGGAGGAGGGGCTCGGCCAGGAAAGTGGGTGCAGGGGAAGGGGCCTGGGTAATCGTGAGGAAGGGAATGGTCAGGGTGGGGCCGGGGCGGAGTGCCCACCAGAAGATGGGACTTTGGCCGGGCTCGCGGACCACGTAGTAGTCTTTGTCGAGGGGCAGAAGCTTGGCGAGGCCGAAGTCTGCGATCTTGACGTGCGTCTCGCTCTCCACCAGGATGTTACGGGCTGCCAGGTCGCGGTGCACGCAGCGGCGGGAGCCCAGGTACTCCATGCCCTGAGGGCAGGCATGGGGCATGGGCCCCAGGATGACTGGGCCCGGGCCCCAAGCCTGACCTGGTATCCTACACCAGCCCCAACCCAGACCCCCAAGTCTCACTCTATCCGTGATCCATCCTGCACTCCAGTCCTGACCTTAGCCCTAACTCAACCCCACTTCCAACCAGACCACAGCCTTCCCAGCGAATCTACGAAGACCCTGCCCAGGCTGAGCCAGCTCAGCCCCCTCAGGTCCCCAGGCGCCCCGCCCTCTCACGCCGGCCTGGCACCTTGCAGATCTGCGAGGCAAAGAGGAGCAGGCGGCCAGCGTCGAGGCGGGCGCGATGCCGCTGCAGGAAGTCGCGCAGACAGCCGCTGGGCAGGTACTCCATGACCAGCCGCAGGCTCTGGCGGCCTAGAGGAGGTGGGGGAGGAAAGGAGGAGTCACCACAGGGCCTAACTCTGTCTTGTCCCCCTCCCCATTCTTCCCTATTAAGAATGGGACCTTGAGTCTCTCCTGGCCTCAATATTACTCTCTATAAAATGGGAACGGTAACAATGACACTTATCGCTAATGTCTTTTGAGTACCTTCTATTATATACATTGATGTTTTTACTGGGGACTGATCCCAGGACCCTGTGCATGCTAAGCACATTCTCTACCACTGAGCTATATCCTCCTCCCCCTATAGGCATTGATTCTTTTAAACCTTATAAATGACCCACTTTTCAGGTAGGGAAATTGACAACCCCAAAGCGATCTGAATCTGGATGAACAAGAGACATCAGTAGCACCACAGCTGACATTCCCAAATCACCCTAAAATGGTACTGGAGGAGGATGAGGATGTGATTTGAAGAGCACCTACCTGGGAGGTGGCTCACCTGGACCATAGCTGACACCTCGGTACTTGACAATGAAGTCGCTGTGCAGGGCTTTGAGGATCTGGATCTCCCGCTGGAAGTCCTTCTGCTGTTCTGGCCCACTGTGCTGCAGCTGCTTCACAGCCACCAGGGCGCCTGTGTTGTCGCCCAGTGGGTCGTAGCGGCATAGTTCCACGCTGCCAAAGTTGCCCTGGGGAACAGCAGGGCTGGTGTCCACGTGCATGGGTGCTACCCCACCCACCCCAAGCCAGCCCACCTCACCTTGCCCAGCTGTGAGATATACTTGAGGTGTCTCTCCTCAAAGATGGTAGGGTCCTGGCAGGCATAGAGCTGGGCACCATTCCAAAGCCCGTCACGGGGTGCCAAGGCACCAGGTGTGGGATCTGAGAGGAGCTCATAATCTGGAGGACACGAGCAGTAAATGAACAGCATACTGGGCCCCCACTCCTAAACTGACTTGCTGTGTGACTTCAATCTGCATGCTTACCCTTTCTGTACATTATGGCAGGGCCACTGCAAGCCAAAAGGTAATTTGTGGGGGCTGGAAAAGGTGCCCCTGGGCAAAGGCAGACCTCTTACATAGTGCGTACGCTGTACACAGACAGAAGGGAGTTTCCCCCATGAGGGGTGGTCACATGACTGAGCTCAGACTGATGGAGGGGAGAGATATCCTGGGTGTCACTTCAGGCCTGGCCCATGGAAACCTAGAATGGGACCGTCTCCCACCTGTCTCCTGCCTACAGAGGATCCAACAGGGGCCTAAGGCCATGGGATGGGTGAAGCTACAAAGGGAAAGGATCCTATTAACCTGGACACCCTCACCAAATGAGAACCAAATATCCACTATGTTCAAGCTTGAGCTGAGGGGCCTGTTTATTACAGGAGTTGCTGAAGCTTGTGCTGTTGCAGTCACAAACCACTCCAACTCAGGCAGGTTCTGGATGCGACCCTCACTCTTCTCCTACTGGGCCCAATATGACAGGCTAGCGCTGCCCTGCCCCACACCTGACCCAGTGCCAGTGGGCACCTGAAGTGATGAGGCTGTTCAGGTCACGGATGACAGCACGGAAGGAGGGCCTCTGGCCCGGCTCGTATGCCATGCACTGTTGGATCAGCAGGGCCAGCTCCATCCACTTGGGGGCGGGCAGCTGCTGTCGTTCCTCGTAAAACTGGAGCTTCTGAGGGCAGGAGGAAGAGCTGGTGCACCCTCAGAAAGCCCCCTCAGACCCACCCATCCTCCCCAAGCTGGACTTCAGTCTACCCTTCTATCAAATGAGGGCTCTTGAGGCCAGTGCCGGTGCTCTGACCTTGGCCGGATCCAGGGTACTGACGGGCATCATGACACCGCTGAACACCTCCCAGACTGTGGCACCAAAGCCCCACTTGTCAGCTTCCAAGCCAAGTGTCCGGGCCTCCTGAAGACACTCAGGGGCCACCCAGGGAATCCTGTCAGTGAGCACTGTGGGAGCAGGGATGGGGTCAGGGATCCGCTTCCGTGACCCACTAGGCCCCTCCCTCCTCCACCCCTCCGCACTTACTCTCCAGACTTAGCACAGTGGGGCTGACACCAGGGTCACTCAGTTTGATGAAGGGTGGGTTCCCATCAGCCCCCTCCCGGGCCAGGAGCACTTTCCGGGCTGAGACATTGCCATGAGGGAGACCTTTATCTTCCTAAGCGAGCCAGGCATAGGGAAATGCCAAGGAGGGGTTGATGAATGAGTAGTCTGGTTGGTGAACTCCTACACATTCTTCAAAGCCCACCTGGGACTGCTCAGACCATACTTTAGAATCTTCCCTAGACTGTTGGCAGTCCACCCCCTGTGGCCCTCCCTCTCTCAAAACAGTGCTCTCCCACTCCATGGCTCCTCAGTCGTTTTAGGGTAAAGTCAAAGGTCCTCAGCCTGGCATTCAAGGCCCTTTGAGATCCAGCCCTTGTTTGCTTTTTATGTGAGCTTCTCTCTCCCACACCTCTACCCTGGTTCCCTGACAAGTAAACCAGCTGATGCACCCCAGGACATGCAACCCACCATCTAAGCTGCAGCCTTTGCCCAGGCTGTTGCCTTGGCCTGACATGCCCTCCTTCCTTTCTTCCTTTGATGAACTCCTACTCAGTCTTCAAGGTCCCAGGTCCAGCGTTCCTTCTTCTCAGAAGACTTCCTCCCTGCCCAGCCTCATTTCTCACTATTCCCCTTGATGTCCATGGATGACCAGTTGTTCCCTTCTTCTACTCTTATATCTCTGAGCCTGTACATGTGCTGTTCTCTCAGTCTAAAATGCCCAACGTCATCTGCCTTGCAGCCTTGCCAAACTTCTATCCATACTACAGCGCCCACTCTCAATTCCCCTCCGCTCTGTGAATGGAGAGTGGAGCAGGCAGAGGAGGAGGACTCACCAGATAGTTGAGGGCATAGGCCAGCTGTTTGACCACCTGTAGCTTCCAGCTGGCAGGCACCAGGTGGCCACTCTTGCGCAGATACATGTCCAGCGCTCCCAGGTGTACAAACTCCTGCACCATGATGCCTGGTGGCAGTAGGGAGGGGGAGGGTTAGGAGGCAGGACTGTACTTGTGTTCAACAGGCTCTGCCCGCATCCCACCTTCAAGGGTCACTTGAACTCTCAGCTCTGACTTTTCCCTCCCTTGCCCCTCCAGCCTTACCCCACTTCCCACCTCCAAACTATTTGTCTGATATTCCTAGAAGGTACCAATCTCTCTCTATAACTCACTTCCAGCCCTTCGCACATTCTGTGTTTCTGCCTAGAACATCTCTCTTCTCCCTCTTCCCTATCACCAACTTATGCTTGCCTTTCCAGCCTAGAACTGATCCTCACCTACTCAGAATCCTGTTGCTTGACCTCCAAGCTGAGTTAGCAGCCCCTGACCACCCACTGTGCCCTGTGCTGCCCCCGCCACACACGATCATTTATCACTCTGCTCAGCCTGGCATATTCTACTCAATGCACCCAGCTCCTGCCACATTCTGGGCTCCCAAGAGCTGTTGAGTTACACTGATGAAATGGAAGCTTAGAGAGATACTGTGGCCCTTGGTTGGAACGGAGCCCCAGCAGGGGGCGCTATTGCTGCCATAGATAGGCTCAAATTTAGGCTCAATGAGGTAGGGCAGGGGTGGGGATAGGAAGTGTTTCTCACTGTCTCCAGCCATGCACACGCCATGGAGCAACACAAGATGCTGGTATGACACTTGGCTCATCAAGCTCGCTGCTTCCAGGAATGACTGGGGAAGGGAGAGGGAGAGAAGATGCATGGGTTCCTCCCACCCCAGGGTCAGGCCAAGGACCCCAAACTTGCTGCTACCAAACCTGCCTTAAGAGACCTAGCCACACGCCTCCTTCGGCTCCAGAATTAACCATTAATGCACACAGCACTCTGTATCACGATGTTTTTCTTTTTTCTTTTTCAGATGCAGCCTTGTTTACATTGTGTACATATTTTTTTGTATCATGGTTTTTTTTTTGTCCAGAAAGGTGTTTGTTTGTTTGTTTGTTTGTTTTAATGGAGGTTTTGGGGATTGAACCCAGGATCTCATGCATGCTGAGCATGCACTTTACCACTGAGTTATACCTTCCCCACTGTATCTTGGTTTTCTGATGGAGGCTGGAAGTCCTCACTGTAGCCTACCTTGAGTCTCTCACACGAGTGGGAGACTTGGGATTTGAGAAGTGCTCAAACCTTCCCCTGTGTTGCCCAGCCCCTGCTGATGCCTCCATCCACATCATTCTTCTCTTCTCCTTTGCTCCCTCCTCTCCAACCCACTGGCCTCCCTGATGTTCCTTCAACATGCCAGGCTTGGCCCAGCCTCAGGACCTTTGCACCGGCTGTTCTCTCTGTTTGGTGTACTCTTTCTATTTGTATCTAAATTCCCTGACCCTTCTATAGTTCATGGTTTGGAGATGCTATGGCTACATGTCTGTTGTTTTAAGACCCCATGTGTTTTTAAATTTCTCTGAACCCAGAAGGCCTGGTCCCCACCCTGCTCACCTCCATGCAGTTCTTATGCTTGGCATCCATCACTTTGAGCAGCACCTCTGTCTCCCGGGCCTCCCCATCCACGGTCTCATGTCGACAGCCGCGGTAAATCTTGGTGAAAGACCCGTGACCCAGATTCTCATGCTGGAAAGTGAGGGGGAAACAGGAGAAGCCAGTAAGGGCGCTCCCATGGGATCCAGTTTTCTGGCCCTGGCCCGAGCCAGGCACAGGCACTGGCCGCATTTTATAGATGATGAAACAGGCATAAGGAGGTTATGTCACATGCCTGAGGCCACACAGCAGAGATGGATGTAGACATGGTCTCTGGCTCACAACTGAGGTATCCCTGACCTCCATTCCTTGGGGCTCCTTACCCACTCCAGGCTGTCAGCAGGGATCTTGTGAAACGTCATCTGACTCAGCTGGCATTGAGATTGGGGCTGAACAGGGCATGACGTGGGCAGGCTGCAACCTCTCCGGACCACGATCAGGTTGGATTTTTCTATGGGGAGTGAGTGGAGGAAGAAAACCAGAGGTCAGAGGTAAAAGGTCCTCAAAGCTTTGCTTACTCCCTGTCTCAGTGGAGTGTCTCTTGTGACCCCTCTCCCCCACTGAGATGAGGACCCAGGAGCATGTGCATTATTTGAAAGGAGACTCCAGGAAGTTGCAGTAGGGGGTGCGGGAGGGAGACAGAGAGGGAAGGAACCCTGCAGGGGTGCAAACGACCAGGTGATGCTGTGGGCAGCCTGGTGTCAGTCCTGCTAGGGATTCTGGGAGACTCCGGAGAATTCACACCTCAAAGTTGTCCCATCCAAGGGGGATTTGTCTGAGAGCAAAATTCACCCAGAGGAAGAGGCAAGAGATGGAGAAAGACTAAGTGCTAGTCCAACTGTGCCTGGATCTAGCCATGCCTGAAAGCAACATCTATCCTAGCAGCCTCAAATCACCCTTTTTCCCCACTAAACTACCTTGACCTGCAGTCTCTCCCACTTGCCACACAAGAGCTGTGGCAGACACAGAAGGCAGGGTCCCAGATCAATCACTCAGCTCAAGGAAGAGGGCTGGCTCACCTTTGGGTCTGGGGGTGCAGCAGAAGGTGAGGTTCAGCTCAATCCCATCCACATGCAACCCACTATTCCAACAGGCTGCCAGGAGCTCTCGAAGACTGCTGTGGGGACGGCCAAGGCCAGCCAGGGATAAAGTTCCCGAAGGGTCACACCGAATGAGGCAGCCCTTGTAATCAGGGCCCAGGGGGGTCTGCAAAAAGGAGTGGCCCTTGAGTGGGAGTGGGTAGCACCATCCCCTCAAAATCTCCAAGCCTTTGCATATGCTGTTCCATCCACTGGGAATGCCTTTTCCCTCCCCTTCTTCAGGAAGCCATGCTGATTCATCTTTCAGTTTTCAGCTTAAATGTCAACTCCTCCAGGAAGCCCTCCTTTGTCCTCTTGGCCCCTAGTGGTAGACTGACCTGGACACAGATAGTTAGGAGGAAGCTGTCAAAATCCTGGGGGCTGCGACGGAGAACGTAGGAGCCGGGAAGCGAGCCCCCAGTCTTGAGTTTGTTGATGGCAAAATCCAGGCTGTGAGGAAAGGAGGGAGGGAACTGAGAGTCAAAGACAGAGAAAGAAAGATGGAAGCAGAGAAACCAAACTAGACCTGGGCTAATCCTGATTTCTCTGAACCTCTGGGACCCTCATCAGGTAACATTCCCTCCCATGTATAAAATGAGCCACAAGTCGGGGCTTCTGCTTAGGGAATTAAAGAGCAGGCTGTAGGTGAAGCTAGGCACCGTTTGCATCCCCAGGAAATGGTCCTGGAGCCTGGAGGAGTCAAAGGGAGGGAAGCAGCTGCCCCAGCAGCAGAAAGGAGACTCCAGCCTCATTGAGCATCACCTATGCACCTGGCGCTGTTCAAGCACTAGACTCCTTGTTCACAGCTCCTAAGAGGTGAGGACACAGAGGAGCAGAAAAGGGGACTGACCGAGACTCAGTCCCAGGTGGGTCTGGCCACAGTGGGGTCGGGTCCTTACGTGATGGGGCCATAGCACTGCTCAGCCACCTCCTCCAGCAGCCGCGGCGGCGCCACCTCCTTGCAGAAGAAGTGCCGGGAGTCGGTGGTCAGCCTGAAGTAGCCATCCACGAGTGCCACGAAGGACAAGGCGGCAGGCAGCCCCGGGAACTCGGCCTCCTGAGGGGATCCGCGTCAGCACACGCTGTGGCCCAAGGGTGACAGTCCCACGTCCCCGCCCTCGGGTAAGGTAGGGGGCCGTCCAGCACCCACCAGGATCTGGTTGTCCGTCCTGGTGACGGTGACCAGGCGGTGCTCCCCAGCCGGGCCAAAGCGCGGGGCCTGCTTGATGCTGATATCCACAATTTCTGGAAAGTCGCAGAAGGGCTGAAGGACCTGGGAAGGAGGAGGACTGAGGTTGGGGATCCCGCCCCCAACCCCGAGGCCAAAGTCCCTCTTGGAAACTTGGACCCCACCAACCCATACTCATGAGACCCTACCCTCTCAGCCTCACCCAGCCACATCCCTCTCCTACTACCTGCCAGCCAGTCCTCACCCTTTCTGTCAGTCCCGCCCTTTTCAACCCCTCCCCTGCTCAGCCCCAAATATCTGCCGCCCCACCCCTGCCAAACCCCACCTCCTTCTCGGCTGGTCCCCCTCACCAACCCTGAGCCCCTCCCTCACTTAGCTGCACCTTATCTCGCGGTTTCCCTTAGTCCAGTCAGGATCCCCGCCCTTCCTCAGTCCTGTCTCTCCCCTCCACCTGCTGTTGACCCTGGCCTGAGCCCCGCCCACCCAACTAGTAGCCTATTTCATTCCTCTACCTGGCTCAGCCCCACCTCACTCCTCCGGGGGTGGCGGGGCGGGCCCAAGCTCTCTCACAGTCGTCCTCCCTTTGACCCCGCCCCTCAAGCCCCGCCCACTACCGTGCTCCTCCCCTTGGCCCCGCCCCCGCCGCCTTTGCACCTCTTGTTCTCCTGGGCTCCAGGCTATGCCGCTGCCACCAGCCACGCGGAGCAGCCCTGGCGCATCCTGACCACCAGCCGTTCCGGGGAGGCCCACGCGGAAGGTCTCGGCGGCCCTGCCTGGGTCCAGCCGTTCGAGATCCATGATGTACTTGGCCATGAGTGAGTGCCTGTCAGCCTGGCAGGCGGCCACGCGGCGCAAGGCCCTGCGCACTGTCCTTCGGATACGCTTTCGTGTCACGAAACTCAGGCCCTGGATCAGGTCGCGCAGGCCGGGGGGCAGGCAGACCTTGTAGCTGCGAGTCGGGGTAGGGGGCCCTCAGTATGGGGAGGGGTCTCCGAAGGGAGGATAGGGATGCACACCAACCCAGGCTTTAGTTCATGGGCCGGTGTATGGCCTCAATAGGGGGGCACAAAGTGCACACGGAGACACACCCAGGGACACGCATGGGAGCGGGGCCTCAGTGTGGGAAGGGCCATTGAGGTCCATAGGACAGACAGGGACACACATAGGCCTTTTAGCTGCAGGAGGCCTGGTGATGGAACCTCAGTGTGGGTAGGAGGGTAGGGCTGGGTTGGCAGGGGTCTGGGTCACATGAGTGCACAGCAGGCTTCTAGATGGGGAGCCTCAAGGTGGACTCTGACGATACCACAGCCTGGAAGCCCTCACCTGATTGTCTTCAGCAGCTCCTCGGGCCGCTGAGCCTGCTCGAGAGCCATGCGGGCCAGGTCCAGCACGGCCAAGCTGAGACACTCACCCTGCTCCTTGAGGCTGAGGCCCACTGGGAGGCAGCCGCTCACCAGATCATTTCGGTGCTGGGGGCCAGTCACAGTCCAACCATGAGCCCCGATGTTGCTCTGTAGACCCCCACCCCCGGGCTGACCTCCACCCCAGGGCTGCCACAGGCAGGGTCAGCCAAGGCTGCCCAATCCTGAGCCCTGATATAGCCCTGTGGACCTCCACCCCTGGGCTGAACCTCACACAGATCCCTACCTGAGCAAATAGGTGCTCCAGGACTGGCAGGTCAAGGATGGCGCAGGCTAAGTCCTTTCGTAGCCCAAAGCGGTGGCACTTTTCTAGCCCAAACCAGTTGGGGAAGTAAAAGCTGTGGGGGTGGGGAGGGGAGAACCTTAGAGTGGGGATATGGTGGTGTTGTGGCTGGGGGGAGCCTAAACTGCGAAGGCTTCACAGAGCTCAGAATAGGTCATTGACTTACTGTGTGACCTTGGACAAGTGACCCACCCACTCTGGCTTCAGTTTCCTCAACTGTCAAATAAGCAATGATCACACCCTCCCTGGGGTACCCACCAGGAGGTTCAGGGAGATGGTGATTGTAGGGTCACTGTTGTTTTAAACTCCCATTCCCTAAGCCCTCAACAAAAGGCATGCCCTCCTGGTATCATTTAATCCACATCTGCTGAGGGATCAGGAGGGTTGTAGGGGGACACTTCCTACCGGAGCCTGTAGACAAGGACCTGGGTGCCCACGTCTTCCACGGAGAAGATGTGGCTCGGGGGGAACCAACAGGATAGGTCCTCCGTGGCCAGAGCAAAGAGGGAGTGGTACACGGGCAGGATACCTGAGGGGACACCTCCATCAGCTCCCACCCAAGTTCCCCTTCTGTCCCCTGCAGGGCTGCCATGTCATCCCTATGCAGCCCCAACAGGCTTTGTCTCACCTTCAGCTCTGACACCATGTCCCACCCCTTCTCACACCCATTCCAAGGCTCCTCATTGCCCTTAGGAGAGAAGCCAGTCATGTACTCAGCCTGCTTCTCAGGGCTCCCTGCCCCTCTCCCTAGAACATCTCTTTCCACTGTACAGTTTACCTTGAGGGATGACCAGCTGTTTCCCCTAATATGTCATCACACTTCTGAGTCTTTGCATATATCGTTGCCTGTGCACACTCTTACCAGACTCTTACTCATCTTTCAAAGCCCCAGCTCCAATGCTGACTCCACTTGGCAGCTATTTCAGCTCCCAATCTGGGTTCCCCACAGCCCTACCCCTCCCTCCAGCCAAGCCTTCTAGGGACCCACTCACCACTGGCCTTAGCAGCTCGAACACACAGCTCTTCAGCTGAGTGGTCCCCAAAAGAGAAGGATAGGCGCTGCGGGGGTCCAGGGCCCCGAGGGGGCAGCAGCACGTGCAGGGCGCCAGCCTCTGAAGAGGAGAGGCTGCAGGAACGCTGAGGGATCAGGGGCATCTCCTCACTTGGAGGTGCCATGATTGCAGCCTGCCTGGACACAGAAAGAGGCAGCATCTCAGTTGCAGCCAGAGGGGACAAGACTACAACGTTTCTGGGAGTGGAGTAGGGGGCAGAGATGCTTGTGGGTGAGGTAGGGGTGAAGTCAGAGAGAGAGGGAGGGAGGAGAGAGGGACAGAAACACACACAGAGAAAGAGCAAGACAGAAATGCAGAGAGACAGAGAGAGGGAGATGAGTGCAAGGTGGGTGAAGAGCCATAACCCCCCAGATGAGGGCTGTGCTTGGGGAGTGGAATATATTCACACCAGTTTGTGGGAACTCACATCCCAGACTATTATGGTGCTCAGGGCAGACATCTCCAGTCAATCTCCAGCCTTCCCATATACCAGTTCCTCCAACCCCTTCTCCAGACAAGCAGGAGCAATCGATCACAGATATAGGGATTTGCTGACCAGAAAGCAGATGGCTTGTGCATAAAGGTGTTTAAGAAGCTAAGGGTGGCCAACCCTCCCTGTGGGTCTGGGGGATTCAAGCACTTCTGGGGCTGGAGCTGGAAGCTTTTGCACCTGATGTGATGCACGTTGAGGGAGGCAGACCCAAACTGATGACTCAGTCGACAGGGATTTCTGTGTCTGTTTCCCCTGCTCCCCCACCTCTGTTCCCTTCATCACTCCCACCATTAGGTCCCTATAATAGGAAGCCCTCCCTGGGAGAAAACCGCCAGCCTTATTCCCAGGCATTCCACACCAGTCAACTACCAGATCTCAGTCACCCGGGAGGACCCCAGAGCTTAGGACCCCTGACTGGGTAGAGGAAGAAGTTGGGCTTTGAACCCTGTGAGGAACGGGGTGGGAGTGGGGACAAATGGACAAGATCCACTTAAATTGATCTGAATGAAGAGGATATAAAGAGAATGTTGGGTAAAAAAGACTATGTTCCAAAATAACACTGGGGGTAGTGGTGGTGGACAGCATTAATGAGATTTATAACATGCCCAGAATATAAGCCTGGGACTGGGGATAGGTGAAAACCCAAGGCTCTGGGTTCAAATCCCAGCCCCACTATATCCTGGCTTTGTGACCTGGGCAGGACTCCCACTACTGGGACACAACTTTTCCAGCTGTAAAATGGGCTGATTCCTACCTGTTTCCCTAAGGTTGTTTGCTGAGCCCAGCCCAAGCTGTCAACTCATTTAACTCACAATGAGTGGCACAAATCCTTGGTGATAGTCCCAGCAAGCACTTGATAAATACCAGCTACATCAGACAGGAAGGTCCCTTGGCACAGTGGTTTGGGGGTTACTGTCAGGGAGGGAGGGTGTGGGGAAAAGAGAACTTTCCCCCTCTGGTGTCACCAAGTCCCAGACCAGGAATCAAAACACTCCCAGTCCCAGGAGTTCTGCGGACCCCGTCACTCCCCACAGAGGGAACTACCATCCTATTTCTGACAGTTGCCCTGATCTTGTCTTTGCGCCTTTATATAAATGGAATCACACAGCACGTCTTTTGTTTAATACAAAACTTTAAAAAACATGATTTTTAAAATATCGAAAGTAAAACAAAAAAAGTCAGAGGTGGTTTTTGGAGCCTAGAAAAATGCCCCTGTTTTAACACCAAAAGTCCCACATGCCTGGATGGTCAACCTATTCTCTGGCCTGAGGGCTGGAAGGGTGGGAGCTGGGAACTGTCTCCCCAGGGACCTCAAGCCCTGGGCACATGTGCGATGATTCTCGCAAGTCCGGGGAGCTGGGAATTCAAGGCCTCATTTTATGCAGGACAAAGCTGAGACCCAGAGAGGGGAGCGGTTTGCCAGAGGCCACACAGCCAGCCATCCCAGCTCACATCTGGCGGGTTTCCTCGGAGGCCTGAAAGGCAAACTTGCCTTTGTCCCCAGCTGCAGCCATCCACACAGTCTCCCCCCAACCCCTGGCCAGAGCCATGTGGCACCACCAGCTCTTACCTTGGGGATGGGGACCCTGGGCCAACGGAGGGAGGGCAGAGCTGGGCAGCAGGGGAGGAAAGTCCCACTCGCTGCTTCCTGTGTGGGCCCCTTGGCTTCCTGAGCTGCTGTCACTTACCGAAAGTCAGGGCTGTGTGGGGGACGAGGGCGGGGAGGGGCAGAAAGTTCCGGAAGACTCTGCAGCAGCAGCCCTGCTCAGACAGGCTGCTGGAGATCCCAGACCTAAGGGAAGGGGTGACAGCACAGAGAAGGGCCCAGATCTCACCTGGGGTCTCAAAAAGCTCCAGGCTCACTCTTGTGGGACCCTGGCAAGGGCCTAGGTCCCAGGGCCTCAGTTTACCCACCCATGGCATGATAACGGCCCCTTCTGTGCTCCTTGCCCTAAGGCCAGCCCTAGAAAGAGCAAAAATCAAGCAGACCGACCCTCAGGCTCACCTCACTATCTGGTCTGGTAGGGAGGCAATTAATCATTATAGATAATAAAGAAAACGAAGGTGTCAGGACAGGCACAGACTGGGGCCCAGGGGTGGTGAGGTTGGGGGACTTTGTGCAGAAGTCATAATCCTTCGAGCAGGGATTTGAAGCAGGACAAAGAAAGAAGACTCCTGGCGGAGGGCACCCACCGCAAGTGCAAAGGCCCTGACTGGGGAGTGAGGTTGAGCTGTTGAAGGACCAGAAGTCATAGTTGGACAAGGTGAGAAGTGAGGGGGACAGCAGAGCAGTCAGTAGGGCCTGGATTACAGGGCGGTCCAATTGGTGATTTTTTTTACACCCCTGAGGCTATCATGGGTGGAGGAGGAAGCTGGGGGCACTGTCCAGGTGAGACCTGGGCCAAGGTCCTTAGTAGGATACAAACCCCAGAAAGTAGAGCTTTGGGGACAGATTTTAGAGGATGCTTTCATCTCTGTAATCCCATCACAAGTCCTGGCACAAAAATGGCTTTGGTAGGTATTTTGTTGACTTTAATTCAATCACCCATAGACACTTATTGGGCACCTCCTCTGTGCAGGGCACTGGGGACACAGCAGGGGACAGAGCAGATCTAGTCTCTGCCTGGTGGAGCTGACAATCTAGTGGGAGTGATGGCAACAAATAATTATCCAATAAGTGTTTCAGTGGCCCTTGGGGGAGGCTGCTAGCAGAGATGCTCAGTCTGGGAGGGCTTCCTGGATGAAGTGATTTTGCTGTTGAAATCCAAGGACAAGTAGCATTAGCCAGAGAGTGATCTGCAGATGTGGGGAGTTCTGGCAAAGGAAGAGCCCAGGCAAAGGCTGAGACGCTCGATGAAGTCACAGTATTCCTGAGAAGGGCAGGGTGGCAGGGACACAGTGTGCTAAGACTTGGTTGGAGGCAGCAGTAGGGACTTGTGGGTGGAGGGAAGGGGTATGGGTTGTGTCCTCAGCACAGTGGGAGTCACAGCAGGCTTGTGGCAGGAAGTGCTGCATGGGGGCTTAGCCATAGTATTTTTCTTTCATATCCTGGGTGGCTTCAGCAGAGAGGAATGTAACTGTGTACTCTCATCCCTGGTCCTGAGAGAGAGGCTCCTGCCTTCCAGCAACCACAGTGAGTTTCTAGGCTCCTGACAACTCTATCGACATTGTAACTGTGGTTTGTTGACAATGAGCAGGAGGAGAACAGGGTCAGGGCAAAGGTGGCACCGTCAGCCCCAGAGAGCGGCATATGAAGTCTCCATGAGGAGATTCCAGGCGGCAGAACCCAGAGCTTGCCCAAGAATAAATTAGAAACTTCATAATACAAACATCCATAATTTCCTGCTGGCAAAAAGCCCATAAGCACAGTTAAAGAATAAACAAATGAAACTGGAAACAAAGGTAAACTAGTGTCATGAATAAAATATCTTCACTGTATAAGCAGTTCCTAGAAGACAATAAGAAAATGCCAATGATTTAGCAGGATATGAACCCAGAAATTACAAAAAAATGAAGGACAAATAGCTCTTAAACCCAGAAAAAGATGCTCATTTCTCATAACAGGTGAAATGCAAATTAAAAGTAGGGTTGACCCTTGAATAACATAGATATGAATCATGAAGTTCCACTTATACACAATTATTTTTTGATAAACATGTACTACACAATCTGCAGTTGGTTGAATCAGCAGAACCTCAGATATGGAGGACTTACGGTAAAGTTATCCATAGATATTTGACTGCACAGGGGTCAGCACCCCTAACCTCTGAGTTCTTCAAAGATCAACTGTACAGTGAAAATATATGATTATTTTAATGGATGCAGGAAATGACAAAATTCAACACTCATTCATGATAAAAATTCTTAGAAATCATGTGTAAATGGGAACTTCCCCAATCTGCTAAGGAAAACCTACCAAAAAAAAAAATCTACCAGTAATAGTATACTTGATGTAAAAGACTGAATTGTGTCCTCCTGAGATTGGGGAAAAGACAACGATGTCCATTCTCACCTCTTCCATTCAACACTGTTCTGGAGGTCATGGCCATTGTAATGAGGCAAGAAAAAAAAGGCTTAAAGATTGGAAAGGAGGAAGTAAATTTGTCCCTGTCTGCAGATGCTAAACAAAGTATGTTTTGTTTATGTAAAAAAAATCCAAGGGAATCCAGTGACAATTACTAGAACCAATAAATGAATTTAGCAAGTTCAATTTTTAAAGTTAATATATAAAATTCATTTGGGGGGAGGGTATAGTTCAGTGGTAGAGTGCATGCATAGCATGGTTCTCAGTACTTCTCTTTAAATCAATCCACCAATTTCTTAAAAAATCAATTGAATTTTTATATATAGCAGAAAACAATTGAAAAATGAAAAAAAATTAAATTCCATTTATAGCAGCACCAAAAAAGATAAAATACCTAGGAATAAATCCAACCAAAAAAAAGTCTAAGATCTTTACACTAAAAGCTACAAATACTGCTAAGAGAAATTTATCAAGATTTAAATAAACAGGAAGATATACCATGTTCATGGATTGGAAAACTCAATAGTATTATGATATCAGTTCTCTTCTTCTGACCTATAGATTCAGTGAAATTCCAATATAAATTCAGCGGAATTTTTGGGGGTAGAAACTGTCAATGACTTTAAAATTCCTATAGAACTGAAAAGGGCCAGGGTAACTTTTAAAAAGAAGATGAAATTATTCTACCTGACTTCTAGGCTTACTACAGAGTTACAGTAATCAAGACAATTTGGTACTGATGAAAAGATGGATCAACAAAACAGAATAGACTAGAGTAATAGACCCATATAAATATAGCCAGTTGATTTTTGACACAGATACTGAGACAATTAAATGGAGGAAAGGAAAGTCTTTTCAACAGATAGTGTTGGAACAACTAGACATCATATGGAAAGCAATTAACATCAATCTTTACTTCACGTCATACACAAAATTAACTCAAAATCGATCACAGACCTGAATGCAAAACCTAAAACTATAAGACATTTTAAAAAACCATAGCAGAAAAATTTTGCAAACTTACGGTAGGCAAAGTTATCTTAGCTGGAAAACATTGATGAATTAGACTTTATCATTGTGCTCTTCAGATAACACCACTGAGAAAACAGAAAGGTGAGATACAGATTGGAGGTGGGGAGTATATAGCTCAGTGGTAGAGTGTGTGCTTAGCATGCACAAGGTCCTGGGTTCAATCCCCATACCTCCATTAAAAATAATGGTACATAAATATATTAAATAAACTTAATCACCTCTCCTGCAAAAAAAATTTTTTTAAAAAGACACAGATCAGGAGAAAATATTTGCAATACATATATTAAATAAACAAAATACTTGTATCTAGAATATATAAATAATTCTTATAACTCAATAATATAAGACAAATGACTCAATAAGAAATTGGGCAACAGATTTGAATAGACACTTCACCAAAGAAGAAATATGAATGGCCAACAAGTTGGTGCCACATCTGCCTTGGCCCCCAAGATCGGTCCCCTGGGTTTGTCTCCAAAAAAGGCTGGTGATGACACTACCAAGGCAACTGGAGATTAGAAGATTTACTGAGGATTACAGTGAAACTGACCATTTAGAACAGACAGACATAGATTGAGGTGGTACCTTCCGCCTCTGCCCTGATCATCAAAGCCCTCAGGGAACCACCAAGAGACAGAAAAAAGCAGAAAAACACTAAGCACCATGGACACATCACTTTTAATGAGATTGTCAATATTGCCTGACAGATGGGGCACTGATCTTTAGCAAGAGAACTCTCTGGAACCATTAAAGAGATCCTGCCCAGTCTGTGCACAGCCATGTTGATGGCCACCACCCTCATGACACCATAGATAACATCAACAGTGGTGTGGTGGGATGCCCAGCTAGTAAAGAACTACAGAGAAAAGTGATTTAATAAAGGGTTATTTGACAACCAAAAAAAAAGAGTGGAAATGACCCAGCCCTATGGAGGGGATCAGATGAAGCTGAAGAAATTACCCTGAAACTCAGCAAGACTCCTTCTAGCAAAAGAGCCTTCCAGGAATGATACCTATATCATGTTACTGATTTTTTAAAGCACTGTTTGTAACAGCATTCAGTTAGAAGCAAGCTCAATGTCCAGCCACAGGGGATTCATTGAATAAACAATGGCCATTGTCAGCATGGAATATTACACAGCTATGCAAAAGAATAGGGCATCCCAATGCTGACAGTGTGGGAAGACCTTCCAGATACTTTGTGAAGGAAAAAGCAAGGTGCAAATCTCTCTGGGCAGGAAGCTTCAGTCTGCAGAGAAAAAGAAGAGATAATGAGGATTTCCTCATATGGACAAAGATGCTCTTGGCAGGGAAACAGAAACAACTTGCTCCCATGGGGAAGGCAACTAGGGGGCCATGATGGGTGAAAGAGGAAGGTAGTTTATGTTGTTTACTTTTTGTGCCTGTTGAATTTTGTATCTGTTAATAGTGTTTAAAAGTGAAGTTCGAGGTGGAGTAGGGTATAGCTCAGTGGTAGAGTGCATACTTAGCATGCACGAGGTCCTGGATTCAATCCCCACTGCCTCCCTT